CAGGAGCGATGATGATTCGAATCGATTCCTAACCAGCTGGTGATTTATTCCTTACACAAACCTCACTCACCCGCTAAAGTGAGGTATCGGTCACCGAGTCAACTATCTAGGAATCTCGAGTTTGCCAGGAACCACATGTACCCGGGGGCCGACCGACTGCCCTTTGGTCTTATCATCGCGCCCCCATGTCCTACCACACCTGCTCCGGCACAGTGCGCTGCGGGCAATCTACCCGGCCCGAATAATCTCCCAGTTTTGCGGTCGAAAGGTACTTTATTCGGCCATCTAAATGTAAGGCATGCGTTCAACATGACCTGAGGCCCAACAACGGTCGGTCCTTAATCGACACAGACGGAAAGCACTATAGTCCAAAACTCTGTAAGTCTCCGTTCGGTCTCAACTTCATTTAACACTTAGTTATACCATGACTACATAGTTCTCCAAGTAGATCCAGGTAACCACCTATAGCTCGCAGGTGACAGGAAATCACCCGACTTCTACCGATCTAAGCCAGCTAAGCATTGACTCGACTGCGGATACTAGGGTAACAAGGATATAGTATAACAAAGGTAGATAAGGTATAATGCAGCAATGGTTGCAAACAACTCCTGAACGTAATGCATCAATTAAAGTAAGGCATTTAATTAATAATTGCAAACCGGGGAGAAAAATGCTCCGGGGCTTGCCTCTCTCGAAGGAGCTCAGGCGGTGATCGGGGCACTCTGGAAGTTCCTCAACGTCCTCCTCGTCTGCTTCGGTCACTTCCTGCGGCTGCACCTCGAGCTGTTCCTCGGGCTCCTCGGGTATGACGACTGGGTTCTCGGTTTGCGATCATATATGATGCATGTGCGTAAGTGCTTATGCAAAAGGTGCATCGAATGAAATGAGCACAATAGATATGCTTGAATGCAAGGTAGTCAACATCATCCAAGAACATGTACTACAAGCACATATCATCTACTGCATTCTCTTATACTACTAATATGCTAAGTCAACACATCTCATTAAATGCTTCAAAGATACACCAAAGCTTCACTAATTCCTTAATCATGGATAAAGCAACATTTGATTAAACCCTAATTAATAATAGGTTTGAATAGCAACATCTCTTTTATAGCTTAGAAAAATCTTAGAAAATTACCATAACACAGTACTACCCTAATTAGTGTACCATTAGATTTTTATGGCATTTGGATAAGTGAAATAGCCTACACAAAAAATGACAAGCTTGGACCTAATTATGAGCATGAAAATACTTTGTATTATGAAAAGTGTCAAACAACAGATGTAATATTTTTCCTATGTTCTACACAGCAAATAATCACTGTACAAAAAATATCACATGCATGTTTTATACAAATTTTGCTCTCTAGCAAAAATAACAAAAATCAACCATTAAAGGCACTTGAACTACTTTTCACAATTTTTCTACAGGACATGCATGGCATATATTTTTTCTAGGAAGTACATTACACAAGAAGAGTAACAAACTTGGAAGCATATTTTTCTGATACATATAGGTTTTACTACACATTTTACAAGATATCAGCAATATCAAGGATTAAATAAAGCTCTACACAAAAGTATCTAAAAAATGACATGCAATATTTTTATCATGTAGATCTGGTGACAAGGAACACAACAAAATTTGTTTCAACAAATTTGGAGCAAATTTGAGCAAGTTATAATTTCCAAAGCATTTAACAGAATTCTGAAAAAGCATTTCTTAAATCCTTTTTAAAACCAGCCGACGAAAATGCTGGGTGCACCCGGATCTGAACACGCGTGTGCACACACAGGGACAGACAAACAGGCCCGGGGTTCAGCGGGACCCCACCTGCCAGCCGAACCAAAACAGAGGAGATCACCGGCGGTGAGAGCTCGTCGACGGTGAGGTCTTTGGTCCGCTGAAAGTGACCGGCATGCTCCCCACACCCGCGCGAACCCCGCGGTGCTCGTGGCATTTGCCAAAGAACACGGGAAGCCGACCGCTACCGTGCATGGCGGAGCGGCGGCATGGGTTGTCGCCGGTGGAGCGTCTCCGGCCATGGCAGGGCGAGAGGAGGTGCTCGGGAGACTCAACGGTGCAGTGCGGTGCTCTTGCGCGAGAAAGAAAGGCGGGCAAGGAAGCGGAGCGGGGAAGTCCACGGGAGCAGAGCTCACCGGTGAGCTCGGCTGTGCTCTGGTGAGCAATAGCGGCCGGCTCGGGCCTTACCACGCCGAACTGTGATGAGCACGAGCTGCGCGAGACCGGGGCGAAGGCGTTGCGAAGATGTAGCGGGCTCTAGTGGTCAGGCGTGGCCGGAACGGCTACGCCGGCGATGGCGCGCGGCGGAGCGAGCGCTGCTGCGGTTGTTGCTGCTGCTGAGCGAGCGAGAGAGTGGAGTGGGGAGTGAGAAGGAGCACAGCGCGGCCGGGAAGGTGAAGGCGCGATAGGAGGGCGCGGGGCAGGCCGGGGCGGCCGCGCGGCGTGCGTCGCCGGCGCATGGCGGCCACGCGGCGAGCGCGCGCTGACGCGGTCGGGCGCGGTGCGCGGGAACAGGCGCGGCGCGGCGCTAAGGTAGGCCGGGCCGGCGTGAGCAGCTGGGCCGAAAGCGAGGCTGCGGCCCATTCAAGTGAAATGTGATTTTTTTTAATTTATTTTCTATCCCCATTTCCTTCAATGCAAAATTTTGAGCAATTTCAAAGCAGTTTTAAAAGTTGGTGCGAAAATAAAAGTTGTTCCATTTTTCAAGATCTACAACTTTGCTTTTATGACAACAGTCCAATTCCAAATAGATTTTGAATTACAAAATAAACATCAATATTAATTCAAAACCCTAATTTTGAAGAATTGTTTAAAAGCAAAATTTGGCAAAACTTTGAATATGAACTTGGCTCCAATTTGTATCCTAAACATTTATAAGCTATCTTAGTGATCAAAACAAGAACCATGGCATCCAAACATGAGCATGGCATTTCATATCGTTTGAAACATGAATAAATTTTTCAATCAACTTAAGCATCACATGAAATGATACTCCATTTCTTTCGAAATGGAATGCGTGAATGATGCTTATGCATGAGGTGATGATGATTATGTTCATGGGATGGAATGTTAGTGCATGCTTAACACCGAGGTGTTACAAGAGCACAGGTAGGAAATTGAAACTAGCAAGAAATCCTTCCGAAAAAATATTGAAAGAAAATAAAAGTGAAATCCATCCTCTCTCCTCTAAAGGAATATGTCTATTTTTAACCATTGAACTATTGCTGCAGTTTGATTTTAGCCACTGAACTAAAAAAAACAAATATCTTGTTTGTCTTGCCTATATTTGCATTTTCTAAAAATAATAAAATATGACTTAATATCTAAAAAAAACAGACCTAATATTAAAAAAAAAATCAGAAAAAGAGGTCGGTACCAAATTTTTCTTAAGCATAATATATTAGTTGTTTCTCTTATTATAATTATAATTATTTGAATTTTATTTGTTACTATTTCTAGTGTTTTATTGCTCGTAGCCATGATGACTGTTTATTTAAATTTTTATTTTGTGCTTTACTACTTTATGTTGATGAAATGATTAGTTGATTGCATAATATTCCTGTTTTAAACATATTACCTAGTCGGGCGATGAAAGTAAAGTAAAGCTCTAACCATGCAATGCCCAAATAGGATTTTTATATAGTGGAGCATGACCTCGATGAGGTTTGTGTCGCCTTCGCAATAGAAAAATAAGATCAAGATAATTGGAAATAAAATGTCAATAGATATATATTATTAGTAGAAAAATAGTACCGATTTAGTATATTTGTCATTAAGATAAATGAACTATAATTTTTTAGAGAATAAACCATATTTTATTGTCGTTAGAAAATACATATATAGGCAAAACCACCTTTGAAATAAGCTAGAGGGTCATATTTGTTCAGTTTTCATAGATGGGTAGTAAAAAAATGTTTGTTTTTTAAGTTCAATGGCCAAAATCAATCTCTAACATTATTTTGTCGATAAGAAAAAAAATGACCTTTCCTATCCACCCCTCCCGAAAGCGTAAGCATGCAGGACAACGTTGATCTATAAACTTCATTACATTTATCTGGGGAAGGCGTGTCATTTTAGGATATTTATTTTCTTCCCTCCGCCAATAAATGTTGAAAGTTATATTGGTGATTGTGTTTGTTTTGATATAAAAACATCATACATTTATACAGAATGGAATGTCATTTTAGAATACTTAATTTATTCCCTCTGCAAATAAAAAATGTTGCTTTCGTTTTTCTAGGTTCAGAAAAGTACATCTCCTTTATCGGTAGTTGTTTTAGAGAAATGAATATGCTATTGTGCAACGATGCGCTCAATACCAAACATTGTTTGGTATAAATACCAAGTCATGCTTTTGACAAATCCGGATTTATATTTGCGAACACAAAATTTGAAGGTGTTCATCAACTTATTTCAGAATTAATGCGTAACTAGTTCAAAAATCATAACTGTCAACAACTGTGTAGTTCAAAAGTGGCTCATATCTACAGGAAACTCAAGAAAAAAACAGTACTAGTGAAATCGAATTATTACATGAAATCCCCACCAAACTTCGGATGGCCGTGGAAAACAAAAACACACCACACACTTTAGTCTGATGATCTTGTGACAAGTGATCGATCCCCTGCATAATACAGCGGTGGATATTGTCACTGTAAATTCTCAGTCTCTAGTCATGAAGAGTGTCAACTAACGAAAACTGCAAATCTGTCGGCCCCATGCTGTTCCTGCTGCGACACAGCACTCATTATTCTTTTTACAATAGTGCTGCCCGAGTTTGTACCAAAAAAAGGTGTCCTACAGTGCTGTGTCCGATTCACAGCACTTCATCTGTTGCTGAAACATGAGCTCCCAGAGCCCTGGGTCGCATGGAAACAGTTCTTACCGGGCATCACACACTACACTCACAACGCGACTTTGAATGCGCACAGCAGTGTCCTGATCGCAGGGCATCCACGAGAACGAACGCCTGCTAGATGCCACAGCTCATGTCGTACGGCTTGTCCACCATGGGCGACGGCGTGTTCATCCAGTAGGACGCCGACCTCATCTCCATCGCCGTGTCCGACGTGACGTTCTTGTCCTTGAGGCTCTTCCTGTCGAGGAACGCCGGCTTCATGGGCGCCGGGACGGACTGGTCGCCCTTCATCGTCAGCATCAGCACGACGTCCGACATGGCCGGCCGGAGGTTCGGGTACGGCTGCACGCACAGCAGCGCGATCTGGCACACCTGCTGGACCTCCTTCTCGTCGAGCCCGTCGGCCTGCACCTTCGGGTCCACGAACTCCAGGATCTTGGACTGCTCGTAGAGCCGCCATGCCTGAAATGTGTTTCAGAGACAGACAATGGTTGGTTCATCGATCAGAATGCCAATCTCATACCAGCACTAGGCTAGGACTGGATTCAATCAGAGAGCAGCATACGTGTTCTGGGAGGTACTGCATCTCGTTTGGAAGAGACAGGTCCGTGTTCTTCCTGCTGCTGACGATCTCGAGCACGAGCACGCCGAAGCTGTAGGTGTCGGCTTTCACCGTGAGCTCCCCTCTGATGGCGTATTCAGGCGCAGTGTAACCCCTGAATGAAAGTAGATCATACATTACTGCACCGTTTACATTATTGTGAGATACAAAAAAAAAGTGAAATGGGTTCATTCAGATGACTTACAAAGTGCCGGCAAACGCAGTGCTGAGGTATGTCTGGTCCTCGGGGAAGAACCTGGCCAAGCCAAAGTCGCCGATCTTGGGCTGGAACTTGTCGTCCAGGAGGATGTTGCTGGCCTTGATGTCGCGGTGAACGATCCTCAGGTTTGACTCCTCGTGAAGGTACTGCAAGCCTCGTGCGATGCCGATGATGATCTGGTGCCTGGTTCTCCAGTTCAGAAACGGCGAGTCATCACCCCCTGCAAATTGTTGACAATTAGGAGTCCATGAGCAGCTAAGCCAAAGCACCAGTCTTTTCTCCCCCAATAGACGACGGACATCCAGGGACTTCATGCTTACCAAACAGTATCTTGTCCAAGCTTTTGTTCTTCATGAACTCGTACACCAGCAGCCGCTGGGACCCCTCGGAGCAGCACCCCACGAGGCGCACGAGGTTCTTGTGCTGGATGCTTGTGATCATGTTCACTTCGACGAAGAACTCTGACTCGCCCTGCCCAGACTTGCCGACGCTGAGCTGCTTCACTGCAACTTTCCTACCGTCGTCGAGTTTCCCCTGATGGACAGCAGCATAGCAAAAGGAATCATGTAGAATCACAAGTCGCCGAGCAATACAAAACTACAAATGCAGTATAATTTTTCACGTTTTCGCCATACAAATTTACCAGATAAACAGGCCCAAAGCCTCCTCTGCCAAGTTGGTTTTTTTGGTTGAAGTCCCTGGTGGCCTTCTTCAGCGTAGCATAATCGAAGTAGGTGATCGTCCGGAGGTTTCCGCTCATGTTGCTGCTGAAGTACTCAGGAACATCTGGTGTACCAATCAGAATTGCCCGATTTGTATTGCTTAGCAAAGATGCTATGAATGAAAAATATGTGTTGTTCCAGAGTGGATGGTCATGATTTCGTTCACCTGAACCAGGGCTTCTTGGCCGCATCAGCTTCCTCATGATGTCTGGTTTGAGGAACTTCCAGCAGATACCAAGCAGGATTATAACGACAATGGCGAGAATGACGATGAAGACGAGGAAGACCGTCCGAGGCTCTGGAGATGCCATTGCTGCTCCTTACTTCTGCCAAAGCAAAATTACATGCAAGAATCAACAATCTCAGAATTTCAGCAGTAAGATGTTAAAAAGTTCTCTCTCTTTTTTTTTGGCTAATCAACAAATGAACTCCAGCTATACCGAACTGAATGAAAGATTGAATGACAACTCCATGCAGTAATCAAAGCGGACGAGAGAAGTTTTGTTAATAGAAGGCACGATTCGTCGGAGCAGTAATTGTCTGTGGAGAAGAATCAACTACTATCACCAACAGTTAACTACTATAACCAACTGATGAAAGGTCGAGCTCAACGAAGAGCTGGGTTAAGCATCATCGAAGGATACAAAAATCCTCCAAAGTTAACATAACGCGCTTGCCATCCTCCGAAAAAGAAAAAACACAACGCGCTTGCCGGCACGACCTTGTCATGCATTGTAGCAACTTTTCGTCTAACAAAACTTAATTAATTAAATGATCACCCTTTTCATTTCAGACTCAGTCAGCGATCTAATCAAATACTTTGCACTATTTATGAACTACTTAATGAACGATTTACCCTACCACAAAGAAAATCCTCTCAACCGCACTGTAAATACAGAGAGTACGTCGATACGGCAAAAAGAAAAAGGAAAAAAGAAACACATCACAGCGTTTTTCCCGGAAAGCACACGGCGAACCAAATTGAATCACCATGACGGAGCTTCCGTAGCTCCATGGCTAATGCCTACTCAAGTTTCACTACCGACGTGAACCAAACAAAAACTGTGTTCGCTTACATTGCAGTGGCCACCGGAAGGCCGACCTGGTCAGTCGCCGGTGACGGTCACCGGACTCGCGAGTCTTGCCCCTATCTCCCAGTTCCAGCCACTACCGCGCGCGCATCCCCCGGCCGGCGTGGCCCGGCCGCCAGGCGTGCGTCGATCGGCAAGTCGTGACTCGTGAGCGAGCAAGCGACGGGGACAGAGCGGGGGCAGGGGATGGGGAAGTTTCCAATGCCGAGACGACGGCATAGTTATCGGTTTCTCCGGGGGAGATTTAGGCTGTAGCCCCGCTCGCGTGGCGCGCCCGGTCCGATCCGCCAACGCGCGGGCGCTGGCACTGCCGGCCGCGCGAGAGAGAGCCAAATGAGCTAGCTTGCGCGCAAACCGGAACGAACCAGCCTTGCTGCGAATAGATTATCGGGCGGGCAATTCCTGGCGACTGCGACGTGGTCGGGCTCGTTTCTAAAACTCTGGATTTTGGCGCCGGACACGTCAGCAGGACCCGGGTGGATGGGTCTTGCAGCTGGAGCGGGCGGCGAAGAGGCCGCTCCCGCTGGAGTCGGCGCCCGGCGGCTGTTCCGTTCGCCGCGCGTGCGTGCGTGGGTAGAAGGAGCGCGCGCGTGCGCGGGAGGGACGGGATGGCCGGATGGGCATGGGCCAGGCCCAGACGGATAGGCAGGGACAGACATGGGCTGCTTTTGCCACGGCACCATGCAGCAGCAGCAGCAGCCACCAGCGGATGTGTGAGGAAGGCAGTTGGGCTCGCGAATGTGCACACCAGGCACCACCGCAGGCTGCATCACAATTCGGCCCAGTTCTCACGCGGGAGTCGAACTCGAACCACCAGTGTGCGGCTGGCCGCTGGCGGGACGCAACGTTCTGCCTGTGCGGTTCCTGTGCCTCGCCTTTCCCATGGCCCCACATGTCCAGAGACACCACACGGTCCCACCCGCCAGACCGAAACGCCCGGCCCGCCCGGAGAACCCAAAAAAATCGCCAGCGCATTTCAAACACCGACACCGAACGAACGAATCCCTCTCCACGGATCAAATCGAATCAAACGCTCTGCCTAGGGTTTCCTCCCCTTTCCCCACCCAACCCCCGCGCCGCCCACCCATGGCCGCCGCCGCAGACGCGCCCGCCGAGGCCGCCGCCATCGCGCGGCGCCTGGCCTCCTGCAACACGGGCACCCGGGAGCTCGCGCTCCGCTACCTCCTCTCCGACTTCCTCCCCGCCTCCGCGCCGCGCCTCTCCGCCACCGACTTCCTCAAGCTCTGGAAGGGCCTCTTCTTCTGCTTCTGGCACGCCGACAAGCCGCTCTACCAGAGCTCCGTCGCCACGCGCCTGGCATCCGCGGTCTCCGCGCCGCCGTCGCCCGCCAACGGCGCCGCCTTCCTCGCCGCCTACCTCACCACGCTCCGCCGCGAGTGGGCCCACATCGACGTCCACCGCCTCGACAAGTTTTACCTCCTCAACCGCCGCTTCCTCCACCACGCCTTCCTGCTCCTCAGCGCCAATTCCTTCGCCCCCGACGTCACCTCCCAAGTCGTGTCCGTCCTGTCGGATAAGGCCCTGCTCCCGGAAGCCGATAACGTCGCCGCAGGCACCTCCCGGGGCCTCGGGTACCATGTCGCCGAGGCGTTCCTTGACGAGCTTTTGCCCGTGCTCCCTGTCAGCCTGGAGACGATGGACGCCCTGCTGGCTCCGTTCTTCACTGTACTGGAGAAGTCGACTGATCGGGTGATGGTGAGTAAGGTGAAGGCAGGCGTATTTGAGAGGTTACTGGAGAGCGGCAGTCGGTTGCTTGAGACGGTGAAGAAAGGGGAGGAGGTGCAGAAGGGTAGTGCTGAGGAGAAGCTCGGGAAAATTGGATTGCTGTTTGGATTCAGCAAGAGGTTCCTGGATATTGGTGCAAAGGCAGAGACGGTGCAATCGAACCGGAAGGTGGTCTTTGGGTTGAGGGATGCATTTGTGAAGATCGAGAAGGGTTTGCAGCTATCTGGTCTTGAGATCACTATGCCAAAGTTTGAGGCTGCTGAGGTGCCAGTGCTACCAAATGCAGGCGAGGAAAAGGTACAAAAGAAGAAGAAAAAGGCCAAGAAGGCTGCATTGGCTGAAGGTGAGATGGAGGAGACCAAGGATTTGAAGCGTGAGAAGAAGGTAAAGAAGGACAAGAAGGAGAAGAAAGAGAAGAAGAAAAAGAGGAAGGTGAAGGTTGATGAAGGGAACATTGCTGAGAAGATTACTGATGCTCCTGTAGATGACCAACAGATGGGTGATGGCACTGACGGCATTACATTTGATGAGACATTAAAGTCCAATCTTCAGAAGCAGTTTGAGATGGCTGCAGCAGAAGCTGGTATGCCCAAAGGGGGCAGCAGCTCAGGCGCTTCACCAGTGACACCAGCTAGTGGGAAAGTGGCAACAAAGAGGAAGCGTTCAAAATCTGCTGATAAGCTGTCTGAAGCTTCTGATGGGGATGATGGCAGCGAAGGTAATCTTCTTGCCCGGGATGGAGAGAAGAGTGGTAAGAGGGTGAGGTTCTCGATGAAGAATAATTTAGTTTGGAAACCTCACAATCCTTTGCCACCGCAGTGTTTGAGGCTGCCACCTTCGGCTACTCCAAGGGGAAGCGCACTAAAAAAGGGCGTTCAGCCAGGGCCCTTAACACCGACGCCATTGAAGAAGGCTAAGCCAAAGGCAAAATCTGCAAAGAAGGTCTTGAAGAAGCAACCTTCATCTGCTGTGAAGCGTTTGCGGAAGTTGCAGAGTTTCTCAGCATGAGCTTTTTGGTGTATGACTCCATGATGGTCATAACTTTGTATCTTTTTTGTTTTGGTTTATCATTACTTGAGTCTTATCCTTTTTGTAGGTTAGATACTATGTTGACTTCGCTGTCAGTCATATTCGATGAATTGCTTAATGTTTGTGTTGTCACTGTGCTTTATGATAATCATGTGGTGATTGCAACAGTAGTACTGTGGTTGTTCTTATGTTTTTGGCAGTACTTGGTTTCCTGATGCACCCCTTTCTTTCCTGAACTGCCCATCTTGCAGCCACGGTTGCAGGTTAGAATATTGTTTGATATGTTATGTCACTGTTGGTACTCTGTTTAAGCTGAAGATCAATATAGGCATGCAGCCAGCCGAGCCATTGTGGTTTCTATTTAGATTGTTCTGTTTTGATATGGCTATTCTAGATTTTGTGGTTATTTATGAAATTTGCTGAACTGTAGACAGACGCAATCTGTAAAATTTCTAATGACGTTGATAATGTTTTTAAATGTCTAATTTGTGGTAAATTGAATTTGACTCCATCCTGTAATTCAGAAACTTTCAGTAAGATGCAGGTTTTTTTTAACTTGCCCTGATCTATGTTCTGGAAATGTTTAGCAGACAAAAGTACTTACGGTAATTTATTAGTTCATTCAAACCTGTTATTTTGTTCTGCTCTTCTTAGCCCAGGATGCGCCAATATCCAAGCTGTTCAGTTTCAGCAAATAAGCTTTGCTTTACCATTGGTCCTGAATTTGTATCTGCTGTGCAATTTAACAATTGCATCATGTTGACAACTGTTGCTTCGTGCTAATTTACTTGTGCTGTTTGCTGATCACCGTGGTCATGTGCTGCCTGTATCTGAATGCCAAGCCGGTGCCGTCAGAATTTTGTTCAGAATCCTCAACAGCTTGAGTAAACTATGTTACTATTTCTTGTCCACTTCTCTAAACACTTCAGGGCTTGCACTGCATGGTGGTCATGTTTGTATCTTTTTTTCTCTGGTTTATCAGTACTTAATTCTTGCCCTGTGTTGACTTCACTGCCGATCCATATTTCATGGATTGCTTAATGATTTTTGTTTTCACTGTGCTTTTATGATAAGCATGCTGTGATTGCAATGGCAATGGCAATGGCAATGGTAGCAGCAGTAGCTCTTATTTTCCTGGAGCCCTTGGCTTCCTGATTGACCCCTTTCTGTCCAAAATCCATCTTCTTGCAACACCGTTTGCAGGCTAGAATATTGTCTGATGTTTTGAAACTGTTTGTACTCTTCACTTTGACGATCAATGCAGCCATTGTGGTTTCTGTCCAGATTGTTCTGTGTTGGGTTTGATTGCTGAATAGTGGACACTGGACAGACACGATTTGGAAAATTTTGGGGTGGGGCAATGGGCACCGGCGCCTTGTTTTGGCCTCACCTCTGCAAGCGTGTCTGACTGACTGTGATACACTCATACATCAGCAGTGAATTACTACGATCGTGATGGAATTATGGAATTGACCGTCATTATGAGTTTGACGGATGACTCGGTTCACTGGAAGCTTGAGCAAGCTCCCCGTTGGATGGAACTGGAACTGCCCCATCAAAGATAGCTTGCGCTATTTTTAAGCAAGCCGTGCAATAATCTCAGAGGGAAGCCCGGCACGCCGCCTGCTTTCCATTGCCACTTCCACCGCATGCCATGCAAATCCTCTCCCGCGACCGCGAGCGATTCATCGGAACGCCGTCCATGATCGAGACAGGATGACGTCGCCGCTGGCACCTTCCCCGCCGGCGCGTCAGGGCATGCAGTCGCCGTCGCCGACGACGAAGGTGGCTCCACCGCCGCTGCCGCCGCCGCCATTGGCCGTGGACGCTGCCGTCATCATGGGCGTGCTCACGGCCGTGCTCCTGGCGCTCTTCCTCTTCCTCATCTACGCCAAGCACTGCAAGGAGCGCGGCCCCGGCGAGGGCGCCGGCGGCCTGGGCCTCGGGTTCGCGCCCTCCTCGTGCGACCGCTGCCGCTCGGGGCTCAGCAGCTCCGCGGTGGGCGCGCTCCCGGTGGTCCGGTTCGGCGACGGCGACGCCGACGCCGGCCGCGCCACCGAGTGCGCCGTGTGCCTGGGCGCCTTCTACGCCGCCGAGCTGCTCCGCGTCCTGCCCGCCTGCCGCCACACCTTCCACGCCGAGTGCGTCGACACCTGGCTGCGGGCGCACTCCACGTGCCCCGTCTGCCGCCGCCGCGTCACCAGGGGCCACGTGGACGTCCCCGAGCCGGAGGAGCTGGCGGCTGGGGCGAGGACGTCGGTGCCCGGCCGGCGGTCGGCGGGCGACGCGGAGGTGCAGGTGGAGGTGGTGGTGCACCGCGCGCGGGACCAGCGGTGGTCCACCGACGGCTTGGTCGGCCGGGTCGCGTACCTCGAGGCCGCCAGGCATCGGAGGGACGACCTCGGCATCCTAGTGGTCACCGCCGACGGGTCTCGCAGCTCCCGCAGCGTCGTCATGCCGCGGTCCTGCTAGCTGGCTGCGCTCACGGCTCATCTGCTGCTCCGAGATCGATCGAGCTTCTGTATCCTAGGTAGCTGACGCTCGTTCACCGATCGATCAATCGATCACCTGCATGTACATAGTTCGCGACACATCGGTAGTACAGTGATAGCATGGTAGGGTGAAGTGAAGACTCTTGTAAACTGTAATCTCAATGTGCCAGTGAGGCAGCGAGGTGATGTAGACCACTTATGGATGAAGTTCCAGATCAGAAAGTTGCAAACCTTTTCATTTTTTTTGTGTGGCCACCAAATCTCTGGTGTTACGATTTGCGATGGAACACCATGGTTTATCCATTGTTGGAACTAGCAGACACGCTGAATAATCTTATACTAGATGATAAAATGAATGTAAGATTAAAAAAAAACTCTGAAAATGTGACTCCGTGAACAACATTTCGGCACTTGAGAAATTAGCAGTCCTGTAATTCTTTACAAAAAAGAATCACCTTCAAGATTATGAATTGTGAATTTAAAAATGAACTTTGCTATTTATCTGTTGACAGATTTATTCGTGCTAAATCTGTCAAATTTATGTGCGTTGGATTACACTTTAAGATTCGTGTTCCCATTGAATTTACGCTTTAAGATACATGTTCCCATTGTGCTAAATCTGTTTGTGTGTTATTGGATTTTTGTTCCGGCTACCCGTTAAGTGATATTTGGTTAGTTTTGTGGAATTTGACATATTTGTTGATACATCTATATGTCAGATTTTGTGATGAACTGATAGGTCAAAAAAACCAACAGTTTTGGCTGCACAAATCTGAACAGATGGATAAACAGTCCCTTTAAAAGTTGATGTTTTTTTGGGTTCTTCTGTTTTCCTGAACGACCGTTACAGATAAGGCCAGAAGTGCCGTACGAGCCTCCCAACGGCCGCCCGATCACACACAGAGTCACGCGCACACCGCGGCTTGGCGCAGCGATTCCCCGCCATGGCCACCACCTCCGTCGCCGTCGCCGCCGCCTCCCCCCACCCCTACCTCTCCCGCTCCCGCTCCCGCCGCCGGAGCCCCAGCGCCACCTCCAGAGCCTCGGTTCGGGGTCGCCTCCCGCCAATCCGGTGCTCGTCCGCCTCCTCGTCGCCACCGCCGGCCACCGGCGGCGAGGAGGGAGAATCGGGGCGCGGGCGGCTGTCTAAGCAGTCTTCGTGGGAGGCGAAAGACGCGGAGGGGGACGACTACCTCTACCGCCTTGGGAAGGAGGCGGACAACTTGAACGTCACCGTCGGCGCACGGTCCGGCATCGTCGATGACCTCTTCGTCGGAAACTTCCTCGGGAAAGACTGTACGTGCTCTGCCACTAGATCGGCTCCCTACAGTCCACTGGTTCGATGGAGCGTCAGTTACTAAATCGACATACCTACATTTGATAAGATCATAAGAACAATGCTTGCTCAGCTTAACTCAGTGTGCTACACTATGTAAACATATTGACGTGCTTGGAAAAAATCAAAGGGACGAGTTAAAAGATTTTGATAGCCTGGGTGCTATTTGGTTGCAGCGGATATTGTGTTCGATTACCGGCAGAAGGCAACTAGAACATTCGAGTACCTGCAGGGGGATTACTACATCGCACCCGCCTTCCTCGTGAGTTAATTTTGGATCACTGCAATTATGCTGCTTTTTATTCAGTTTTATATTATCTAATATCCGATTGGCGAAGATTTGACACTGCAGATTCGTTTGGTTGCAGGATAAAGTTGGTAAGCACATTAATGTAGAAGGAACTTGGCAAGTATTCTTGTATTAAGGTATCAAATTTGAACAGTCAGTAATTTGGTATACAAGTGCTTCTTTCGATTTGCATTGGTCAATTTGCAGCTTTTACTTTTGCTCTTGCACTTGGCGTGGTAATTACTGGTTGTGATTCTACTGAGAAATGTATTAAATGGGAGTGGTTAGCATAAGGCGACCTTCTTTTATAAAAAAGAAATATAAGCCAACCAAATCATTAGACTGGATATGTTTTAGTCAAATACATAGACAATCTGAGGTCAGCCTGCAGATGAAATGTTAGTAACAATCATGCATATATGAATGAATGATTTTTCTGCTAAACTCATCTTTAATAATTGATTCTTGGTTTTGAGAGTGAGCTGTTGCTGCACAGTACATACAAACACCTTAATTCTTCAGGAACATGGATATCTCTTGTATGATTAACATATTTCTTGTTCTTCTTCCCAGGTACACGTACTAAAATCTAAAGGACTGTTTGTTGTTTGCAGCATGCCACATTGTAAAGAACTACAATGCACATCTTCTTAATAATATCAAGGTTCCCCTAATACTTGGTAGAGTAACCTAGTTCTTTGTTTCTGTAGTCTATTCTTGATATCTATTAATGTAATTGACCCTGATAGACTGCACTATGCAGGGATCTGGGGTGAGGAAAAAGGCCAAGGAAAACATTCCAGACTGAACTTATATTTAGAGCAATGGGTGTGGAGCCCGTTATTATGTCTGCTGGTGAACTAGAATCTGAAAAAGCAGGTCAAGAATCACTTGAACTATATATCCCTATGTGTTTTATCATTATACCATAATTTGCCCTGCTGTTCGAAAGTGCTTCTCACTTTGTTATTTTTTCATGCTAATGTGAACTTTATTCCAAACATTGAAAAACTTGTTTCACTTCTTCTTTTCCTTTGTATATACTTTCTTTGAGTATTTGATTAGTTGGGAAAGTGTGAACCGTCAAATTTGGTTCTTGGTGCTTCTGTTAATCCCCAGCTTCAAGTGGATAAAATTTGGTATTGTTCTGAACTACCAATTTTAGGAATATGAGGGAGAAGGGTCTCTCCATATTAGTTATGAAGGAAAATTAGTCACCATTATGTTTCACCAGATCTAAATGTGCAGAAATAGTAGGAATTGGTTGTTTTTCTTTCACAATTTTCTATCAGTTGCATGGTCTGAGAGTGTAGCTGCTTGTTGGTTGCTCAGGTATTTCTGTGCTCTGTTTGCAGGTGAACCAGGGAGGCTAATACGTGATCGATACAGGACTGCCTCCCAAGTAATCCAAAACCAAGTAAGAAAGTGTGTTTGCAGTTACTCGATCTTAGATTTGAGCATTTCATGTTTAAGTTTCTTTTTCTGAATAGTGAGCATGAAATGTTTTGCAAATTTGCAAAGTTTAATCACAGAAGTTAATCATCTGCATACATGGGGATATAGTTGTCTAATCATTTTGGATGCTTCAGTATGTTAGTTTATCATTCACTTCCATATGAATTGGTAATAAATTTTTGACATGGTAAAAGTGTTCCTGAATTACCAAAAGTTGGTGCTATTTTAGTCTTCCATATTCAGGGATTGTGTTCTACTGTTCTGAATACGACAGCTAGTTCATAGTTGTTTTGCTCCTGGAGATTGTACCAAACAAAACATGCTGTGAATTTTGTTCATTTACCTTTTTCATAAGAAGCCACTTGGTTTTCACAAGGTTTTCAATGATACAGGGGAAAATGAGTTGCTTGATGATCAACGATCTAGATGCTGGTGTTGGAAGATTTGGTGGGTTATTTTCTGTACATGTTTATTTTTCAATGCAATTGTGAATAGGGTTTGTCCATTTTACCAGTTACATGCTATTTGGCAAGCTTTGTTTGCAAGGATGAAACCTCTCTTCTGTATATTTAAGAATATTTTTTCTTTTGGGCTAGGAATGTATACAGTTTTTGAATCTTCTTTGAGTTTGTTGTTCAAGAATATAGTTATTAGAAAGCAACTTAGTGCTATGTGTTTCTCTTGTTGCCAGGAAACACGCAGATGACAGTCAATAATCAAATAGCTGTCGGAACTTTGATGAACTTGGCAGATAATCCTAACAGGGTGAGCATCGGCCAGAAATGGAGAGAATCTGATGTTACACACAGAGTGCCAATAATAGTTACTGGAAATGATTTTTCAACTCTATATGCACCCTTAATTCGTGATGGCAGAATGGAAAAATTCTACTGGTATGTTGTCCTATCTGGAGCAGTTCTGTACAACGATGGATCACCAACTGAAACTTCTGGACTGGAGTATTTTAATTTCCATTTAGCTTTGTGTATAATTAGGTGTTTGCTTGCCTTCTTGGCATTGACATTTTATACAGTACAAAATTTGATAGCTGAAGATAGGTGCTGATTTCGTGAGGCATTCATTTTGTGCTTAACAGGCAGCCCACCCGTGAAGATATAATTAGTATTGTTCATGGCATGTATAGAAAGGATGGATTATCTGTTGAAGAAGTAGCAAGAGTTGTAGACGCATTTCCAAACCAAGGTACCTTTTGCACAACATTATTTCAAAAACATAATTGGACTTCCATTTTTTCGCTTGTGTATTATGCTGTTAGAATACAATTCATCGTTGTAAGGATGTTGTTTAGCATTCCTTATGATTTGGTGTCCACAATTATAGGTTCGGCCTTACATTTGAGTGAAATTAGTGTTTAGTGATCAGCAAATGCTTTGTTTCTGTTAAAAATTAATTTAGTTATCTAAGAGCCAGATAAAATATTGGTACTGCTGAAGAATTGGGCTTAGAAATAATATCCAAGCTCATAAGCAATCCACTTCATTCTTCGAAATTTTTTTATTCAAGAACTAAATGAACATTCTGCAGCTCTGGACTTCTATGGAGCTCTGAGATCCAGGACATATGATCAGGCTATCTTGGAGGTATTTTTTTCCATTTTATAAAGATATTATTTAAAATTCATATGGTTGGTTGTAGAAAAAGAACTTTAGGCTGTGCTTGTGCAACAATCTAGGCCATGCCTGTTAGTTTCAGCAGATGCGTAACATATATGCTTGTGCATTTCTGTTTGTCAGATAAATTGTTTGCCATGGAAGTATATATAGCATATGGGTCATGTTTGGCATGTAATAACTACAAACAGACATAATTAGAGCTGAATTCTGAAAATATAGATGTTGGCCTGTGTCAGGGTATTCAGAATGGAAAGGGCTTTTTCCCCACCGCAGCTTCTGAAAATGCTGTTCAGATTCAGACATAGCCAAGTAACATATCACTGTTTCCCTTGCACTGCAGTGGGTGAAGAAATTGGTGGACATGAACAGCTAAGTGTAAAGCTTCTTAAGCGAAAGAAAGGAGAGGAGCTTCCAACATTTATACCACCAAAGGTATTCAGTATTGAAGCATATATACTACTACCTCCAGACTAAAGATGGCAGCGGATCGGGTTCGGTGCGGGTATCCGCGGGTTTCGGGTCCGCGGTTTTCGGTTTCGGTTCTGGTTTTCACCCACGGAGTTTGCGGGTTCGGATACCGAAATACTGCGGTTTTTAGGCGGATATTAAAATTGACCCGTGGAGCTCCATCGGGCTCCGGAAATTTCAGCCCACGAAGCCCACCTAGGAACCCTAAGTATATAAGCGTGGAATCGATGATTCGTTCACCCCCAACCGCCAACCCTCACTCCCTCGGCCCCTCATCCGCATCCACGGATCCACCCAGCGCCCATGCGCAGCGCGCATCCACGACTGGCGTAAGCGACGGCGGGTCGGCTCGTTCCTTCCGCATGGCCGCGCGCAGTAATGGCGGCGCATCGATCGGCGACTCCGGCGCCGCGGCAAGTCCAACTGCTCTCGCTTCACGCCGCAAGCAGGCAGTTCGCCCTCGAGTTCGTCTCTTCTGACCGAAGAAGGTGAGCCGTCTCATCCTCTTGCCCTCCTCGCTCTCGCTTTTCCGCTTTCCATCCGTTCGCTTCCCGCCTCTCCGTTGCTTCCTCATTCATGGCTACTTACCGGTCTGGCGCTTCGCCCGGCTCTACAAAGGCGTGGGGGACGACGCCGGATCGTGGTGCCGCCGGGTGGGGCAAGATCTGAGCGAGCGCTGCGTGGAGCCGTCTCGGGCTGCGCCGTGTGTCACGGTTGGCGACGCCTTACTGCTTGTATCTGGTCGCTTAGGTATGGTTCTCTCGGTGTCTTCTTCTTGCGCTTACCGCTTATGAAATCGATCTATAGAGATGTGACATTTTGATTTTCTTGCGCTTACTTGCATGGACACGGTCTCGTCTCTCGAATCGCCTATAGTTGAGAGCACTCTGTAAGTCTCATTCTAGGCGGCGTGCATGCCAATTGTTCTTGGTGTCGGCGTAGATGTTATTGGCATAAGTTTCAAACCGATGGTATATTTCTGAGTCTAGTATTTAAGCTCATAGTACTTCTCATGGGTGCCATGCTAAAGGCTCTGTTGAAACCCTAAGATGTAAAATTCTTCAATTATACGCTATTTGCAATTGGCATATATCTGTGCAGTTTTGTGAAAAATTTGTTTTCTGCAATTCTCTCTATTCATAGAATGAATTCATTGCTGCAATTGGCTCACACCAAAGGATATATGCAATTTTTCCATATGTTGTTCAGAAAAGTTTTTTTTCCATATTTGTTGCAATTGGCTCTGTTGAAACCTGCACTCATTGCTGCAAATGGTCGTAAATTGAAGTGATTTCCACTTTCTTATGCTTTTCTTATTGTCAATAGCCATTGAAAAGTTTGTTGAGAAGTTAGCCCATCTTATGTCTATGCTCATCACGAATTTCCCTTTTGTATTTGTCGGGAAGTGAGCAATGTCGGCTCCTGGCGCTTCAAGTGGGTCTCAAGCTGCTGCTGCTGCATCTCAATCTGTGGGTTCTCGTCCACGTCTTACTGACCAATTCAAGAAGACACCGCCATCTCGATTCAAAGAAGACCAAGCAATCGATTCGCAACTCTAGGTAATAATTCAGTGGTAGAGGTAGAAGATGATGTTCCTGTTGGTAGTAAGAGGAAGCTAAGATCTGAAGTATGGAAAGACTTTGATTTGATTAATGTAAGTGGGGTATGGAAAGCAAAATGTAAATGGTGCAAAAAACATTTAGGTGGGGAGACAAGAAATGGTACAACCCACTTAAAGAATCACATTCTTTGTATGTCGAGAATGAGCTACTAGAAAAGGTTTAACACAGTCCACTCTTAAATTATCGCAAACCCACAAGATGGCAATTGTCACATTAGAGAAGTATGTGTTTGATCAAGATGTAAGCTAGGAAAGAACTTGCTTTAATGATTATTGTCCATGAGTTTCCTCTTTCCATGGTGGACTATGTTGGATTTCATGAGTTTTGTGTCTTTGCATTGCGACCCGACATTCAAGGTAGTGTCTAGAAACACAATTAGGAAGGATATCTTGGATATGTATCAAGTGCGAAGCAATCTATGGTGAATTACATCAAAAATTGAGTGCTCGTGTTGTTGTTACTACGGACTTGTGGATGACAAACCACCGAGAGAAAAGGTTACATGGCGATTCTGACCCATTTTCTAGATGAAGATTGGAAGCTTAAAAGTTTTCTTATTAGGTAATAATAAATCACATCATTTTGTGTTCTTGTGGACAGCAAACAACCAAAGAAAAGTTTTCAGTATTAGCTAAAAAGTTTTCTTATTGTTGTAGGTTTATTTATGTTCGGCACCACATCTTTGCGAGAGGTTATAGCGAGAGGTTCTTCATGAAGTTCTCCTAGATTGGCATATTGAGAGGAATCATCCACTATAACTCTTGACAAGCTGTAGTGTCAATGATAGCCTCATGAAGACCTTGATTGGCACGATGGTGATGACCTTGCAAAAAGAACAAGGCTCTTTGTGGAAGGCAAGTTACCACTCCTCTCTTGTATGTTGAAGGGCAAATTAATTCATATGCGTTGTCTTTGCACATATTTTAAATTTGATTGTGAAAGATGGAATGAGTGTAATGGAGAAGGAATTGATAATGTGCGTGATAGTGTTGCATCTTTGGTGGCCACTCCTAAAAGACATGAGAAGTTTGAAAATGGCAGCACAAATGAAAGGAAAATATGAGAAAAGAATTGCTCTTGATTGTAAAACTAGATGGAACTCTACTTATATTATGCTTACCTTGCACTAGTTTACCAAGATGTTTTTGAGCGCCTTGCTTCTCGTGCTCCTTGTGTTCCATCTCAAGATGATTGGAAGTTTGCTAGAGAGCTTTGTGATAGGTTAAAGATGTTCTATGATGTAATGTGGCTGAGCTACTATCGGAACTAAATATGTCATGACCAATCTTTTCTTCCCCAAAATATGCAACATTTTTTGACAATTAGGAAGTGGCAAAGCGGTGAAATTCCTAAGGTAGAAGAAATGTCTATTAAAATGAAAGAGAAATTCAACAAGTATTGGTGGGATGTGCATGGTTTGATGGTACATTCTTTGCTTGTCCTAGATCCTAGGTTTAAATTACAATTGTTGAATGCTCTTTTCTTAAAATTCATGGAGTCGAGGAAAAGTGTAGCTATGGAAGCTGTCAACAAAGTGAAAGACTTGTTATACAATCTGGTTTTGGAATACCAAGATTATGGAGGATGTTGCCACAACAGATGGTGCTCAAACTAGACCAAGTGCTCCTTCTCGGATGGATGATGAAGATTGGATTGACACTTTTGATGATTACATGTCCAAACAGCCGGTGTGACCTCCACCTATGTCTTGAAGAGTTAGATTTGTACTTGGAAGAGCCACTTGCTTGCCTAGGACACAAGAGTTAGATATCATTCGATTGGTGGCAACATGCGGGGCTCAAATACCCAACATTACAAAAAATTGCACGTGATGTCCTTGCTATTCCTGTGACAACGGTGGCATCCGAGTCAGCCTTTAGCACTAGTGGGAGAATAATTAGTCCACATCGTAGTAGGCTTGCACCATCAATGATTGAGGCACTTATGTGTATGCAAGCATGGTCTCATAATGACATGTTAGGTAAGTGCAGTTTCTATAAGTATGTGGTTTTCATTCCATATAAGTTATATAACTAATTTGTGAAAATCACATCAATGCAGGGTCTCATTCTACTTTTGTTGGTGCTTTGATGACTTGTCTTGATGAAAAAGATGAAGAAATGGTAGTGCTGTTGTTTCCTTGTATATTCAATTTGTGAATTTACAATGCGTTGAACATTCAAGTAATGAGCTACTCTCTATTTTTATTTCACAGGATGAAGATGACTCCACCATAATTGATGAATGATGAACTGTAATAATAATCTGGACAGTGTGTGTGTCTGTTATTTGTTTGACTGTAATATGTGAACTGTATCTTGAACTTGGGTTGCTTCTCCAATTCTACCTTTATATACCGCAATATTTGTTTGGACTGTAATTGATGAATGTTTGGATTTGTAATATTTGTTTGGATGTTTGGACTTTGCCACTTTGGACTAACCACATACCATATGCGTCTGTATATGTGTGTAATATCATTTGTTTGGACTTTGCCACTTTGGACTGTAATACTATTGTTTGGACTGTAATATTTGGACAGTGTGTTTTGTAAATGGCTGGACACAAATGTAGCTGCTACTTGCATGTTCTGTACAATATCCTCGGGTTTCGGTTAATCCATCGGGTTTCGGGGATCCGCGGGTTTCGGTTTTGGGGATGGATTTTCACCCGAATCGATTTTCGGGGCGGATTCGGGTTTCAGGTTCGGGTTTCGGTTTTGGGTGCCCAGACACTCCACCCGATCCGAACCCGCCCCGTTGCCATCTTTACTCCAGACTCCAGTCAGGATAGCAAGACGTTCAGACATTCACAAAACAAACTGACCAGCATGTCTCATGTCTGAAACGTCATGCGTTTTTGACTGGAGGGGCTAGATGAGTTAACTGATTAGACTGCTATTTTTTTTTTCATCCGTTTTGAGAAACCAGTACCATGACTGACACCCTGATATTATTTTTTCTACTCGCAACCAGCCATCACTGGAAGCATTGATTGAGTCAGGGTACTCGCTGGTGAAGGAGCAAGAACTAATAATGAACTCAAAACTATCAAAAGAGTACATGAAGAACTTAGAATAGTTTGATTTGATACACGAGAGGGTAACCACCAGAGTCGGTGCTGCTTCGATTTCAGAAATCTCCGAGAAATCGTGGGTTCAGATATGAACTGCTGAAAGGATGGATGCATATCGGCATTGCCCTTGACTCCTTGCTCTCATCATGGATTGTCAAAAGTCTTCGGTTTGACTTGGAAGACTTGTGAGCTGTGGCACAAAGTAGCCCGTGTATGTATGTGGAGCGGAAGCGTCCAAAGAGCCATCAATTCAATCCTTCTTCTTCTGCCTATAATATCTGATGCCATTTCAGTTCACACAGTTTATACTTGCAGGATCGTACACGTGTGCAGGTTCACATTTAATAGTACTAGTACTGGCAATATGAAAGTTGCAGAAATCCTATACCTGACTTTCTTGCCACATTTGGGAACGAACAATTCCGCTAGGAATTTCTCAGATTTCCTTGACATGAAAGATCTGGCAGTATAAGTTTTTCTTTGCTTGTGGGAAACCAATCCA